AGTAAAACTCATTCTCTTCCTTCTCCCATTTATCTTCGAATGGATTTTCAATTCCCTTTTGTTCTGTGGCACAGTTTCAACAGATGGGATAATAAATATCACCCAGTCAAACCAGCCTCATGTATGACGCCAAGAACACCTCCCTGGTCATGGGAGGGAAAGGAAGGTTTGAATCTCTTCAGATTGCAAAAGTTTTTTGCAATTGTCTCTTCAATGCTAGATGATTGTTCTGATATTGCAGTATTAAATAAGTAAACGTCAGCATCATCACTGTGACATCTCCTTTAAATATAATTCATAGAACATTTATGCTCTTTAAAACATAGCAATGGCAGTGACCAATGCATTTTCCAGCTAGATGTTGCAGTACCTGAGCTTCTGAGGTTTGTAAATCCTTTGTTGGAAACACTGACTTAAACTGATCAGCACAAATTTATATCAACTCCCCAACAAGAAAGGAGTGAACCAGACTGCTAACTCCAAGCTACAGCAGCTGCAAAGGGCAATGTCACTTTGTAAAATGTCATACAGTTACACTGCACAGTCCCTGAGAGCTTGTAAAGAAAGCAAAAACTATGGGCCACTCTGTAGCTTAAGCAAAGAGCGCAACAAAGCAATGACGTGACTTTTCAATGCAGCCGGGCCATCAGTTATTACCCAACGGCTTCCTCTCATCTAGCAGAAGGCCTGCAGATTCTCTCTTCTGTTTTAAGAGATCATTCTGCACTTCTGCAACAACTGAAGTAACACTACATGCAATGAAAATGTTTATGTTTACGTTCGTGATACTTACGATTTTTTTTTTTTCACTCTCTTTGACACATCAGATCATTGCTTAGGTTGATGCTTCATCACATGCAAGTCCAAATTTACAGATTTCTTCATTAACATCTATCCATATCAAAGATGCAACAACACCTTCAGCAAACAAAATAATTTTTGCTTTAGCTCAATGAATTTTTCTCAATAGCACAAGTGACCAGAATCTTAGAATAACTATCCACCCTTGATCTACTCATGTGCTAACTGTCAGATTACAATGAAGGAAGAGCTCACCTTGAGCAGTAATGCCATGTTTTCACTCAAATCAGATTTCCAGGAAGGGAGACTGTAGGGAACAATTAGCATCAAACTGCTACTCACATTACTAAGCCATCTGTTTTCCATTTTTACGCTCCTAGCAGCATCAGACCGTGAGGTTTGGATGAGGCCATCCATTATGCAGGAGACGCAGATAACTAGCTTGAACTTTCAAATACTGTTTCAATTTTGTTTTTTTTTTTTTTCCAAAAAACTTTGCCAATACAGCCTTACACAACAAACAAGTGAACAGCATGTCCTTTTGGTCTCATTAATGGCTTAGAAAATAAAAACATTTTATTTAAATTGTTCTAGCAAATCCTTTCTTCGCTCATTTTCCTGGCTATTTTGCAAGTGACCCCATGATCTATCATTAAGTGATTTTTTTAATTGTTATTTTAAAGAACAAAGATAATCTCAAAGACTCTTTCCATGCTTCTCACATGGCAACCTGAGTACTTATTTGCTACTTTGTATGTTCTTAAAAATAATTATGAAATACAATATTTCACTTTCCATGTGACCTATATGAGGTGGTTGAAGTAGAGTTGTATAAGCTGGATTTTGTACCTGATATGGCCCATATCTAGTTCACTGCTGTTCTTGTGCAGACATCTTTAGTTACTTTTAAGCTATTAGTGACAGTATACAAGTATTGCCTAGATAAAGGAGTTTTCAACAACCCATCTCATTCACAAACTGTTCATGTTCTTCTGCTATTAATTAACAGAGCAGATGAGTTGTAATGGAAATATAACAGAAAGTTCATAAATCAGGCAATTGTCTCCACACTATTGGATTAGACATTCCAGGGCAACAAACAGAAATGAAGATAGTTGCCAAGGTAGAGAGACTCAAGGTATAATTCCAACAAGCTCTATTACATTTGCTAAAGCATTCTTCCTTCCATACAGAACAGATACCTTATTTAGAAAGTCATTCTCTCCTGCTTTCTTAAGCTGTTCAGTAATTACAAGAAAATTTTGCATGCCTGTTTTCAGAAACAATCATAATTCTGACGATGAGATACCTAACTTGCATGGGGATCTAAATGAACAAAAAATGCAGAAAGACTCCACTTTTCAAGAGGAAATGAAGAAATGATTCATGTGGGTTTTTTGTTTTTTGTTTTTTTTTGCTTCAAATATTTCTAATGCAGACACTACATGTTTCACAATTTATTTGTCTCTTTAGACATCATAATTCTGAGGCAGTTCTCACGACACAATTACTTGAAAAAGTCCACCTTTGTAATTTATCAGAAAAGACACAACAAAAAGCAAGCACAATAAACAATTATCAAAGACATTGTAATTCTGTGACAGTACCCTATTAAAAGCCTTTCTGATACTACCAAGGTATATTTGCCCTGCTAGCCCATCTGTGGTATTCTTTCGCACCACAGTACCTGATGTCACAATGATAGTCTAATTCTGTGCTGATGTGTCTGTTCAGCTGTTAATCAGAAAAGACCTGTTTTTAATGTAAATTGTGGTATATCTCTTAATAAGTCTAAATTATCTGAGAATTGTATCATTTTCCACTAATTTATTAGCATGAGAACTTCAGATATAACAGGAACTGGATTAACATGCATCTTTCCAATCATCAGCCTTCAGGTACTTCACTGGGGATTTAGTCAGAGCTGGATTCAGTGGGTTTCACATCACCTGTTACCATAATAACATGACATCACTGAGCACTACAAAGTTTTCAAGGTATGAAAAACTCATTCAAGTTCTGCTTTTACTGATTCTGTAACGGGATTCCTGTCTTTACTCAAAACCTTTCAAATGAATTGTTCATCAGTTAAGTTGGCTTTAGTGTAACAACAAAAGGTAAATCAAAACAGCATTTTTCATCCAATGTTAGATAAGGAGCTTCTTTCGAAGATGTTTCGGTACTGTTAACCTATGTTATCATTTCAAATACAAGTACCACCTATATGGTGGTAGAAATCTGCTCAAAAGCAGAGAAGTGTTGAAAGAATTATTATGTAAACAAAAGTGACAGCTTATGTATACAGTTCATATTCCATAAATTATAGAAACTTATAGAAATTAAACTAGAAATGACATGCATAAAGGCCCCATGTTAACTGCTGAATAAACATGCATGTTTCTGTAGACATGCTGATACAATGAATGTGGGTGCACCTTCACGAAATGCCTTACCGTGAGATGAAACTTTCACTGTGCCACGAATGCGCTTGATTTTTCACCACAGTCAGTGAAAGAAGTCTTATAAAAAATACAAGTGTTTGTGTTTATAAAGAATACTTACATACATTTAAAACCATACCCACAATATATTAACGTTCCTCCTGGATTATCAAAGGCTTGTCAGTGATCTACACATACGTCCAAGTTCTTGGCATTCAAAACAAGACTGATACATTGTGGAAGAAGCTCTCACTTTATGTATTAAATGTGCCAGATGCACCAGATGGTAAACCGTATTACAAAGGAAAATGCCCATGCATAGACAAAAAGACTTCAACGTATGCACTTTTTACATCTCTTAGAAAAGAAGCCTCTATAAAATAAAAATAATTAGTTCAGAGGAAGAAAATTAACCTACAACTTTCAGGATGCAGGCAGGAAAATAAGCGTACAGACTTTAAAAAAAAAAATCTTACTAGAGTTGATTTCTATCATTAACATTTTTATTTTCTGGCTTCAGATCAATTATTTCCTTCATTCTGGAACACGTTTTAAAAACTGGCAAAGAAATGCATTTAAAATTAGTCTAAACTCAAGTACTCAGTAAAATGAACTTGCTGCAGTTCAAGGCTAAACTGAAAGGATGCAAATAACTCATGTGCCTGGTGCCATCTCCTGGTAGCTTAGAGATAAAACCATCAGAAGAATTACTTCACTGAACACTGTTTCACAGTAGTAGCTTTTTAAATTCTCAAAATTCACAAAAGCTACTTCACTACACACGAGGGCCACTATCAGGACATAGCTTCACTCAAGCTAAATGATTTCACACTGGCTTAAGTAAAGAAACCATTTGGGTTTTTTTTCCTCATTTTCTAGAATAAATAAGGACTTATCTGAATATTTTTAATTTCAAAACAAGTTCAGATAGTAGGTAAAAAGACAAGTTATATTAAAGAGTTTTACACCATTTTCCCCAAGCAAATCCTTTGAGGAAGCTTATTCATCATAACACAAGTCCTAATACAGTTAATTAGCCCACACTGACTCATTTTTAAAGTCAATTTCTTTTTAATGAACATTTAAGATTCAAAACATTCTTTCCCAGTTGCACTCTTTACTTGCTGTTGATGAAAGAATGCAGCATGGCTACCCATAAAAATATCCCATGGTTTACTTTGTAAAAAATAGCACTGGCCAACATGTTAAGAAGACATTTTGACAGCTGGCACAGGTACCTTATTCAAGTTCAGTGCTACAAAGGCTGCTGAAAACAAGCTTGACGAGCAAGAAAAATTAAAACAAACTGAGCTTGGTAATAGAAAGCCTGATTTTAAAAAGTGCAATATTTTACATCAAATCTAGAGTTAGTTCCAGACAATAATAAATCAAAGGAATCCTGTCTGAAAGCTGTGAAGTTACAATAGAAGACAGTAAAATGCTCACACACTGTGATCTAAAATTTAAAAGTTTTGCATAACGAAACAGAGATGGTACTTGGCTAGGCTGGTATGTTCAGGAAAAGCTTTAGCCCAGAGCAACCCATATATCACTCCCTCCCATAGCACAGAGAACTAAACAGCTGTAATACAAAAGTTTCACTAGAAACCATAGAAGTACAGCCAATTGAGAAGGGCCTCAGCCTACCAGGAGGTAAAACAGCATCTAACACAGGATCTACAAATACCACAGGATGGACAGAGGAAGAAAGGGAACAAAAAGTCTAACCTGCAGAAGAAGAACAAGCTCAACACTCACCATCGGTATTAGGCACAGACAACTTCAGATGGGCAGCATTATAAACCCCCAAAGGAGACTCAAAACAATGCACAGAAAATAAGAGAGACGGAGGTGAAAGTACCAGCTCTTTCTATGGGCTAGTAAGTAGAGAAGCTCCCCCTATCGTGGGGAAGGAAATAACTCAGAAGAGCTTGAGATCTACCAGAACAGAAGAACTAAGGCTCTGTTACCCAGGGTAAGATTTCCTTTCTCTGCACAGGAAGAACTGGATTTTACTGAGACTTAATATGACAATTTGTTGATGTGATAAGAGGGTTTTTGTAACAAACAGAACTTTTATTTTACAGACTGTTTTATTATGCTGGCAAGAGAGACCTGTCCACATCGCCCTGAGGGCTAAAAAACTAAACAAAACAAAAGCCCCAAACCTGGGAATGAACTCTACACATGGATTATTTCTTCTCATCTCCTGAATGACTACAGGAGCATGACTAGAGTTGCCTTAAAAAACTGGAAGGAGCAGCAGTAATCTGGATTGTCACAGGTTCATTAACAATTGCCATGGGGAAGCAATCATTAAATGTTGCAGAAAAGCCAAGATAAATAGGGGACATTTCCTTCCACAAAAAGAAAATTAAAAAAAATATATCTGTCATAACTTCAAAATGTAACTGAGAAATAGAGCAATGACTAAAGAATCATAAGAGAACCAAATTAAATGCAACTGGGATTTCACATTCCTTATGAAAATTAAGGCTTTAGCATGAAATAATTAAAGCAAGGATAGCCAACTCATGATGTGCCAGAATGTATAACTCAGTCTGTCATCTTCATTCCTGAGTCCCTGTGAGTTGGTCAGGAAGTGGGCTGTCAGACACACAAATTCCCTAACACACAGCAGTATCCCCGCTGTTTTCCATGAGAGCCCCACAGCTTCCTGCTTGTCACGCAGCTGGACATGCCCTAAATGTGAACTACAGGCATCAGCAGCAGCACATGGAGCAGGCCTGTTGAGTAACACGACAAAAGGACTTAAGTACATATGTCCCCATCGCAGCTTGGTGGCTCTGTTAGAGCACAGCATGGTATGGTCAAGTGATTACCACAGACCTACGTACATGACAGAACTGCACTCATCCCCTAGCTGCCTGCTGGTGGATTTGGGCTTGACCTGGCAGAAAAGATGAGTGACACTGACCTGAATGAAGTGATGAAAATGAAAATCAGGTACCCTGGAGCTGAGGATCTGTAACTGAGAAACAAAGACAAGATAATTAGAGAATGCAAAAAGAAAAACACCACACACATTGTCAGATATCTAGGCCTTCATGGAGGGGAGTTATTGGCAGAGGAACACTTACTTATGTGAGGATTAAGAAAAAGAACAGTGAAGATGAAGGACCTTTTAGTAGAAAGGAAAGTACGAAGTTTAAGAAAAAGAAATGTATTATCTCGTGGACTAAAAAGATCAAACTTCTTAAAATTAATGAATTTGTCATTAAAAAAAATATATGTTGAAAGGCAAAAGGAAACATCAAGAGCTTTGTACTGCAAAATAAGTTCAAAATGATAGAAAATGCGCAGTTCTTACCATTAGATTACATTTACAGGAAACACAAGGAATTAAAAGAGAAATAGTGACACAGTGTCAAAGGGAAATGTATTTCCCTACAGAGACAGAAAAAACAGAATTGCAAAACGCAATGGGTGTTTTTTGGCAGTGAAGCGAGGTGCACTTAAACCTGTTGTCAGTAAGTAAGTATATCTGCACGGTCATATCACCAACAGCTCCTCTTCCACCTCTGCCAAAACACAGAGGAACCAATTTTTGGAAAAAGAGATCAGCCAACTGCAGGGAGACCCTTAACGAACCCACCAGAGCGGAGAGGAGCTGCGCTTCGCTTCGGTGGGCGCTGGGCTCTGTCTCTTTCACCCGGCTCCCACACCAACGGCGCGGCGCGGCGGCAGCGGTACGGAACCGCAGAGGAAGCGAAGCACGAGAAAAGCCCAGCGGGGGAAAGGAAGGGCTCCGAGACCGCTCTGGGACAGGGGGCGGCAGGGGCTGAAGCAGAATAGCGGGCATTGACAGCAATCCAACTTCTAAAAGCTGAGCGGGGTGCCTTTCGTACTGAGCACCACCAGAAGTCGCCAAGAGCAGTACTTCGCTCTGTTCGCACCAGGAACGCGCACCTTTCCGAGCGCAGAAGCGCCCTCACAAGGACCCGCGCACCGAACGGCGCCTAGCGGCGCGCACGCGGCCACCCCAGCCCCGCCCGCCGTAACGGCCGCACCACGCGCACGCGCAGCACGGCGGCCCCTCTGCCCGCGTGCTCGGGCGAGCGAGCGGAGGCGCGGCCTCGCAGTGCGCCTGCGCGGCAGCGCGTCGGGACGGCCGGAAGGGGCGGGGCGCGATTTGAAGCGGGCGGCGGGCGGGCACCTCTATGGCCGCGCAGCTCAGCCGCGAGCAGCAGGGCATCACCCTGCGGGGCAGCGCCGAGATCGTCGCCGAGTTCTTCTGTAAGGGGCTGCGGGGCGTCTAGGGGCGCGGGGAGACGGGGGCGGGGGGCGAAGAGGGCGGACGGGCGGCTGGTTCCTCTCCTGCGGCCGACATGGCCTCCGGTGGGGCAGGAGGGGCGGCCCCCCCTCACACACGCCTCCCCGCTTTGTGCGCGCAGCCTATGGCATCAACAGCATCCTGTACCAGCGGGGCATCTACCCCCCCGAGACCTTCACCCGCGTCCAGAAGTACGGGCTTACCCTGCTCGTCACCACCGACCCCGAGCTGAAGAACTACCTCAACAACGTGGTGGAACAGATGAAAGGTGTTCCCTCTTTCCGTACCCCTCCCCCCTCTTCTCTCACGGCCTGTAGTAAATGCTGTGGCCTCTTCCAGAATGGCTCTACAATTGCACCGTGCAGCGCCTGGTGGTGGTCATCTCCAGCATAGAGAACAACGAGGTGCTGGAGCGGTGGCAGTTCGACATTGAATGTGACAAGAACGCCAAGGGTGAGAGGTGAGTGACAGCATTACTGTGCCTGCTTCTCCCTACAGGGAGGCACAAGGGAAGGACCACAGATGGTAACGCTGCTCTGCTACCTCACGGCAGCTAAGGCTGCTCTTTCTCACTAAAAGCTGTCAGACCTTACCAAATAAAGCTGTGGGTGCCATTGATGCGCCCAAGGGACAGGATGCTATCCAGGGGGACTTAAACAGGCTCATCATTGTGCCCAGGTGAAACCGAGATTCAACAAAGCTAAGAGCAAGATCCTGTACCTGGGTCGGAGCAGACCCTGCTATCAGTACAGTCTGGGGGACATAAGGATGGGGCACAGCCCTGCTGAAAAGGACCCAGGGTGGATGGCAAGCCGAACACGAGCCTGCAATGTGTGCTAGCAGCCCAGAAAGCCACCCGTATCCAGGGCCAATCAAAAGAAGTACAGCCAGCAGGGCAAGGGAGGTTATCCTGCCTGTCTGCTCTGCACTTGTGAGACCTCACCTGGAGTACTGTGTCCAGATTTAGAGTTCTCAGTACAGAAAAGATATGGACCTGTTGGAGTGCATCCAGAAGAGGGCCACAAAAATGGTCCCAGGGATAGAACATTTCTCTCAGCCTGTCCTCATACGAGGCTGTTTAGCCTGGAGAAGAGAAGGCTGTGGGGAGACCAGAGAGCAGCCTTTCAGTATATAAGGGAAGGTATAAGAAAGAAGGGGACAGACTCTTTATCAAGGGATAGGGTGTGATAGGATATAGGGAAAGGGTTTCACTAAATATGAGGTTTAGATTGGATATAAGAAGGATAATTTTGGGGTTTCTTTGTTTGTTTGTTACAGTAAGATTGGCAAGGCACTGGCACAGGTTGTCTAGAAAGGTTGTGGATGCCCCATCCTTGGAGCAAGGATCAGGCTGGGCAGGGCTCTGAGCAACCTTATGGAGCTGTAGGTGTCTCCGTTTGTTGCTGGAGAGCTGGACTACATAACCTTTAAATGAACCTTCCAACTCAAATGATTCTGTGATTCAATAATTAAAATGTTTGCAACTAAACAAAGTCTTGTATTACTGCTCTTCTGCTGTTTTGCCAAAACTCTCATCCATTCCAGACAGAATACATCCTTAAAAATACTGAGATTTCACAAACAACAAGTGAAACTACAGTCAGTTTTCTAAGCCCATCTACCTAAGGCTTAAAAGAATGCCTCTATTTTGCATAACCATACAGCAAACAGACCCCACAGAAGTGCAGCAGAACTGTGTTTAAAGAAAGCTTTCACATAGTAGGTATAAGTTGTTTTCTTTTTCCCATTTTTCCAGTGCACCCCGAGAAAAATCTCAGAAAGCCATTCAGGATGAAATTCGATCTGTTATCAGACAAATCACTGCCACAGTAACTTTTCTGCCTCTCCTGGAAACTGCCTGTGAGTATTCATAACTTCTCTGAAAGAAATCACACCACTCAGAAAGCCTGAACTAGCATCTATTGAGGAATGTCTTTTCCACTATTTTGTGTTTTTATTATTACTTGAAATGTCATGTGTTGCATTTCTGAGTATTTAATGTTTAGTTAGACCAAGACAGTCTCAGTTATGTACAGCATAGAAACAGCATCAGAGAGCACTGTGCTGTAGCTCTCTCTCGTTCAAGCACTTGGAACAACTTCATTTGAAGGGACTAGTGGCGATGTCCCCAAATACTTGCTTTTTTCCCCAAAAGATGCAATTCAAGGTGACTTAACTAGCTTGATGAAACTTAGTGTATCTCAGGAACTACAGTTTTCATAAATATTGTGACTATAGGAATGTTAACTTGTTTTCATTCTTTAACTGCCATTTCTTTTTCTGGTGTCAGTGTAACTTCTGATAACCTTCGTGCATGTCTCCTTGCATTTTAACTTCAATCATAGTATCACTCATATGTGTACTGCTAATTTTTTCCCACTTGCTTACAGGTGCCTTTGACTTGCTGATTTACACAGATAAAGACTTGGTAGTCCCAGAAAAGTGGGAAGAGTCAGGACCACAATTCATTGCCAATTCAGAAGAGGTTCGCCTTCGTTCCTTCACTACCACGATCCACAAAGTAAACAGTATGGTGGCTTACAAAAAGGATTCTTTTCCCTAAAACTGTTTCTTGTACATATCCTGTCCTCTTGTATAGTTTCTGTTCATAGTGCAGCTATGTTGTGAACACACAATTGCTCTTGCTGAAGTATGGAACAGTACGTGCCTGATAATGTGGTGTAACACTAGGTTAAGCTGGCATTGTTTGAAGAGCTCTGAGGTATTCATGACAGTATTATGCCTGTTCTTCATGCAAGGTCCGGGTTTCATTACCAGAATTAATCCATACCTAATAAGATGACTAATTCTAAAGTTCTTACCATGAAAGCAGCTGATGATCAGGAAAAGGCTCAAACAGATGAAACATAATATTTTAAAGAACATGAGACTGCAGTTTTGGAGAGGGTGCTGTCCTGCATCAGTGTGTCTTGTCCTTCTTCAGCATCTGCCCAGCATTTTCTGTGTCTGTATTCTTATTTTATGGAATAAAACTTGAAACTGTATAGCGTTCTCCCAGTCAGATAATGTGGGAAATTATATTTTAGATCTTAGAACTCTTATGTTCCAGCAGTTCAGGCTACTGCCGTAAGTACTCTGTAGCAGTTATAAAAAGTATACCTGCTTCAAAACACAGAAAACGAACTCAGATCTCAATAGTTACCTTATCTGTTTCCTCAGTCACAAATCAAATGCTATAGTCAATATGAAATCCATGAAACTATATTCATTAACTGTGCCTAGTACTGTTTGTGGGAGACTCAATGATTAATTATGATTTTATCATTTGCAGAATGTTTTGGGGTGGAAGGGTCCTATAAGATTGCCTACTTCCAACCCCCTGCTAAGGGCAGAGATACCTCCCTCTAAACCAGGTTGCTCAAAGCCCCATCCAGCCTGGCCTAGCTCCCTTCCAGGGAGAGGGATTCACAACCTCACTGGACAACCTGTTCCAGTGTCTCACTACCCTTAAAGTGAAGAATTTCTTCCCAATATCTAGTTTTATACTACCCTCTCCCAGTTTAAAGCCATTTCCTCCTGTCTTGTCACTGCACGCCCTTAAAAAAGTAACTCCCAATCTTTCCTGCAGGCCCCCTTCAGGTACTGGAAGGCTGTTATCAGGTTCCCCTTGGAGCCTTCTTTTCTCCAGGATGAAGAACCCCAACTCCCCATAATGGTTAATGGTTAAGCACAGCCCTGCCTTCTAAATTAGTATCAGACAATAGCCCAGTTGAAGAAGCTCCATAAAAGAAAAAAATTAAAATGGCATACTCTGCTTTTAGTACTCCCCATAGTCACATCTGAGTTACTTAGTACTTAAGCACTTACATATCAGTCAAATCATGAGCAGTGCAATACTACCATTTTTGAAAGAGTTTATTTTAAAACTACTAATTTTGCAGTACTGCTGTAGAGTGTGAATAATGGGTTTTCCTATCAAGAAATACCCATCCTCACAGCAGTCCCACTTTAGTACAGTTAGAAAGATGTTGTGTAAATCAGTATGACATATCACAAATAAATATAATCTAGCTGCAATAACAGAGGAATAAGCTTAGAGCTTTCTTCTGCCTGTCAGCAATGTTCTTAAGCAGCTGACTGCACTACCCATTTACACCAAAAGTAGGTGCACTTCAACAGCAAGTGCAATTTCAAGCACTTCCCTTGGGAAGGACTGGATCAAAGCAATGGTTGCTGTTCCCTTGCAACAAATTCAAATCAGGAAATGACAACACATGCTTTATACCAAAGGTGAGATCAAGAGCCAACTGGTACAGTGCCAGCAGTAAAAAGTATTGAAAACAAAGTAAAAAAATGCAACACCTTAAAAAAGTCAGATTGCTCCAGAAAGTTCAAGTAATTTCTTTTTTTGCACCAAATACAATTTCCTTCTCAAGGACCAGCCTGCAGTGCAGCTTCTGTCACCTGGATTTTGCTGGTGAAGGTAGCAACAGTCAAGAAATGTAGTATATCATTGTAGAGAGCCCAGGTCGATGAAAATTACATGTGAAAGAGCAGGTTATAAATCCCGGTGTTTTCGCACAGACTGCAGAACAGAAGAGGAAAAAAAAATTACCAGTCATTGAACACAATCTCCCAGCAATCAAGCCTTTATGGAATAGTCCACTAGCACTGATAGCTAATGTAACCCATGATCTTCTCTAGTTTTCTCTGTGACTGTGAGGGTCACTGTTGTAAACTCATCTTTGATGGCAGTACAGTTATTCTTAAGAAGCCAGATAAACAAAAAGGATTTAGAAGTTACATTCCTCACCTGTCTAGTTCAACTGACGTATAAGCTGGTTGATTCCTTCACCTCTGCAGCCAGGCTTACCCATCTCCTTGAGGAAGCCCACTTTATTATGTGCAGCATGGCGGGCCACTGACAGCTGGAAGGGCCACAAGAAGTTTGTGACATTTCTGAAATACCTCCCAGCTGAGTAGATTTCATGAATAAGGTCTTCCAGGCAAATAATACCAAAGTTGCCTGCAGGAAAAAATAACCGCAAAGTAAAATGAACAAAACACACAACACACACACACATCCACCACCCATAGAGTAGATGTGCAACTATTCCTTCACACTATCCAATAACCACTGGTCCTCCCTATATACATCTTGCACAATTCTTCCTCCCTTCCCTTTAAGGTCAGAATGCAAACTCTCAGCACCTCCCTTAATTGCCAATTCCCTTCATTTTCTCATTTTATTCCTCACCTAAATGTTCCTCTATCAACCTATTGTCCGTCAGAGGTACCCTCTTCTTGTTAACATTTCCTTGGCCCCGTTTCAGGATGAGCTCTCGCACAGACTTCAGGTTAGGATACCTGCACAAAAACAAGAAATCAGACTGCATAGTGGAGAGACATGATGCAGTGGGGAGTCCTTCTCTGCTGCTTTGCACTGAAGTTGGAAAGTAACCAAGGTAGCTTTAAAGCGATGAAAATGAACAATAACAAACTGTAGATGTGAAGTCAGTGAATTTTTGACCACTTATTGGAGAAGCTAGCTACAAATCAGAAAGCCACGATATCTGCAAAAAAATTTCTACAAAACCACGTGACTCATGTAGTACTTACCCCCAAGCCACATAAGGTTCTACAATCCGCAGCATCTTCAGTGATAATGGAGACAGTTTAACAAATGTTCCACTGAAAATTTTTCTCAGCCGCAGCAACTCAATCACTCTTCTTACCCTCAAACTCACACCTTTAATCCTTAAACAGAAAAACATTCTATTAGTAACCACATTTCTTTAACACAATACCAAATGTCCTCAGCTTACCTGCAAAGACATAAGTGGCTAGATTGCACTTCCTTTGCTTAGAAGGGATGTGGCATTTACTGACAATAGCAATAATAAAAATAAGTAACAAGCTCTCTTACTCTGTAATCCGCACAACAAAGGCCAGTCTGTGCTCCTTAGCTACAGTCACCTGCCCAGGTCGCTGCTCCATGCGCCTCAGCCGGACGTCGTCTCGGCGTTTGCGCCATGAATCTCGAACAAAAGTCTCAAGGCGTTTAAACTGGATTTGTTTTCCCTTCTGGAGCTAAAGACAAAAGGATAAGGAACGATCAACGTCCTCAACAATTTCAGAAGTGGACATCTCAAAGATCAGGTGAAATTAAGAACTTCATGTGCTATGCTCTTTTACCATTGGACACGGTAATAAAATAAATTTGAAAATCCAAGCCTCAAAGAGACAAAAGTCAGGGACAATACACAAAGTTGCAGACTTTAAGCAGTGAGCTGTGACTTCCAAACAGAGAACAGAGAGGTTTTCCACAGAGGGAGGTATGTTAGGAAAGACACAGAGCAACACCCAAGATGATTCCAGGCACAGGAGAAATCAGACTAACACAGCCACTCACACATTGCTTGGTCAGCTCAGGGAAAGCCAGAAGCAACATGTATTATGAAACAGATGGGACACCAATAATCCACTGTGACTCAAAATAACCACCCCTCCAAAAAAAAATTGGTTTTAATTCCTTTTTCATAAAAAAAACCACATGCAAAAAAA